TTTCGGGCGTACGGATCAACCGATTTGAATGGTTTAAAAAACATTCGATTCCTATTAATAAGGAGAAGAGCTGATTAGTTTTTGGCAAAGACAGGTCCAGCAGTTACGGAGATAAGGAGCAAAGAGTGCAGAAAATAGAAATCGAGTTTTTGAGAGAACGGAGCATCCGATTTGAATGATCTAAAAAACATACAATTAGTAATGATTGGGAGAAGGGTTTATTAGTTTTTCGCAAAAGCAGGCCCAGCCATTACGGAGATACAGAGCTAAATGTACAAAAAATGGCAGTTTGTGAGAGAACTAAGCGTCCGATTCAATCGATTCTAAGAACTTTCTGTTTGTCTTAACAAAATAATTGATTTTGGAAAAAAAAAAATTGTACCATTTTTTTTTTTTTTTTTAATTTTTTGTATATCTAAAATATTTGTATATAATTCTGACTATAGTTCTAATATACTTTAAACAAATAATTTCAACTCTGCAATTCAGTTTATATAATTCTTATAGACAATGTTACAATATTTATAATAATCTATTTGAAAACATTCAATATTCCTCGAACATTTCGTTACGGTACGGAAAGTTGCAGCAATTTGCCTTAAGGCACGATGCCACCCACCCCACTAGTTATTTTTCTTTTCACACTTGTTCTGTTAAAATATCTATTATAATTTCTTCAATTGATAGAGCCACTCATTTATGAAATAAATTTTTTTGGGATAAAAACTTGGATCTTATTCGCTCCATTCTCACAAATAATTTATACCCTTCACATTTAATAAACTAGTGGTGCATGGCATCGTGCCTTAAGGCAAATTGCTGGAACTTTTCGTACTGCATTAAATATTTGAGGAGTGAAAATAACCAATAATTGTTTTAAATAATTTCAAATAGATTATTTATTATGCATACTTATTAAATTGAGCGACAAGCGTGTTCTACAAACAACTTATGTGTATGTTTACAAAAAAATTGTTTAATTTTTTCTAAAATTTGATTTTTTGATTTTGATAATTTTGATTTTTTTTCAAAATTTTGAAAATTTTTTAAAAGTTTGATTTTTTGGAATTTTTGGAAAAAATATATTTTTTTTAATTTTTTCGAAAATTTGGAAATTTTTGAAAATATTCGATTTTTTTTTTAAATCTCGAAATATTCTCAAACTTTTGTAAAAAAACGTTTTTTTTAAATTTGGATATTTTTTGAAATTTTACAAAATATAGATTTTTTTGGAAAATTATAATTTTTTTTCGAAAATTTGAATTTTTTAAAACTTCATTTATTTGAAAATTTAGATTTTTTTTGAAAATTTTCCTGATTATAAAAATTTTTGTAAAAGCATTTTTTGCACGCTGTCTACACAAACAAATGGTTTTTTGAATTAACCTAATCCGTTGATCCATTCTCTCAAAAACTGCATGATCTTTTTTACACACTTGGCGCATTATTACTTCAAAACGGCTCCATACATTTGAAACGTGCCTATTGCAAAAACGCTTTGCGATCGAGTACAAACCGAATGTTTTTTCGATCATGCAAATCGGTTATTCCATACTGTCGAAAATGTCGAGGACATTTATTTGAACCATAAAAATGAACTTCAAAATTAAAAATCTTGGTACGAAACCCAAAAAATTGACACAAAATGTGTACACATTATTAAAATTTCTATATAACATCTAACAATTTGATGTGCGTATGTCCAATGAACATTTTTGACCGCCAAATTTTTTTAACTTTTTTTATTGAGAGTCTACAACCGCTGGACCTGCGTTTCCAAAATTTTTAAACAGTTTTTCGATTAGTCAACATAAATAAAATGTTTCTTGAATTATTCAAATCGCACGCTGCGTTCTCTCAAAAACTGATTTATCAGTTTTGGTTCTTTTGTCCCATATCTTCGAAACGGCTAGACCTGCCTATGCCAAAAACTTATCAGCACATCTTCTTATCAATACGAATTGATTGTTTTTTAACTTCCCGTAGATTATTATAAAACAAGATTTTTCGTCGTAGAACGTCATTTATAGAAATAATCGGCATTTTGCTGAACCACGCGTTTGTCCCTAATTCCGTGATAAAATTCGGCTCGTGAATATAATGCCGGGAGTCGTTGTACGTTATTCCGTGATAGCGCACGATGCTTACATTTTTGATCGTATTGCCTTGATAAATATGGTTATAAAAAAGGGTTATAAAAAGTGCGGTTAATTATGAAATAATACTTTGATATGATTTTAAACATTTATTTAGTTTTATAAAAGTCATAAAATTATAAGAAGTTAAAAAACTTCTAAAATAAAAATAAAATAAAAGCTGGTATTATTATAGTAATAGCAGTATAATTATCATTATCAATACTGTTTCGGTAAATCAAATAAATGAAACAATAAAGAAATAATTTTTAACGGCAATTAAACAAAAATATAAACTTAAAATAAATATAAAATTTAAACTCAAAGTAAAAAAATTAAACTTGTAATAAAAGTTACAATTCTGTCAACAAACATAAATCTTCAAAGACTTTACAATAATCTTTAAAAACTTTCAAGTTAACAATAACTACTAGCTCAAATTAGGTTTGATTGGGAATTTTGTATGTTTTAGAAGCTTTAAAATACATTTAATATAATATGGCAAATTTCTTTTAAAGCCTTTTTTCAGGGTTTTGGGTGAATATTTAATTGGAGCCATCGTTCTTTGAAAAACTAAAAGTCCGATTTGAAATCATACCCAAATAAATTTACTGATCTTGAATATAATTTTAATAATATTTAATAAATTGTATTAGACTATTAGAAAGTTACTGCATTTAAGAGTAGCCTCGGCATCTTATTTTCGAGTAATTGCAATTCATATCAATTTAATAACTTACGATGTATGTTTGTTTTAATAATATGCAGGTTATATAATGGTTATATTCCAAAAGCTCAATCGGATTAAAACTATCGCGTTAACAGGAATGTCCCTAGATCTCTGCATATATACATACATACCTGCGCCCTAGTAAATCCGCGCCCTCTAAGTACCGTGCGCTCTACGGGGTATACCTGTATTTTTATTCAATTTATATAATAGAAATAATTGATCATAGATGAAAAGGTAGAAATAAATGATACTCTCATTACTACAGTATTCTAGGTATATTGGAACAATGCAAATAAGTGAAAAAAATCATGTACTTTCTTACTGAAGAGTAGTCATTTCAAACTCAATCATTAGTTTTTTTTTTTTTTATATATTTTTATTGGCCTCTGGTAAACATTTAGCCACATACATAATGTACAATATACAGGTAACATATATAGTATATTGGTCACTTACAACTTAATTTTACTATTATTAACAAACCTAATTATGTTAGGATAACAGTTCAGATTTTGCAATAATGATGTCAAATTAAAGGGTTTAATCAGTGTTTTTATAGAGTGTAGTTCCTCTAACAATTTAGCCCTGCTTGCCTCAAATATACTACATTCTAGTATGATGTGTTCAGATGTTCCGCTTGATGCTCCACAAGGACATGATTCTGACTCTATTATTCCCAGCCTCTTCAGGTGTGCAGGGAAGTTGCCATGGTTAATCCTTAGTCTTGTTATTGTTACGATGGTAACTCTGTTTTCATCTGCATATTTTCGGAACCACGGTTTCATCTTCAATTTGGGGTTGGCTGCCTTGTAGTATCGTCCCTTTGTTTCCGAGGATCTGTTCCATTGCTCTTGCCATTTGTCCAGTATTTTTTTCTTTGAATTATTTATATAGTCTTTGCTAAGGGCTAGGTTGATCATAGTTCCGTATTCTGTTGCCCATTTTGCTATTGAGTCCTCATCGTTTCCACTAGAACCAGAGTGCGATCTAGTCCATAATAATTTGACTGTATACCCGTTCTCCAATAGCTGTATATGTCTATTCCATACTTCATATACTAATGTCTCGCTTAGTCGATTAGTAAGGTATAGATTTTTCAGTTTATCTACGCAGCTTTTGCTATCGGTAACGATGACCACTTTAGTGATTTTGTGGCTTTCTATATATTCAATTGCTTTTTTTATAGCTATTAGCTCGGCTGACCAAATTGAAACGAAGTCTGGTAGTTTATATCATTAGGGTTAAAAATTAAAAAAAACATATACCGTAATTACGTTACAGTATTCTGTAGTCATTAACAAACTTAATAACACCAGAAACACCGCCGAATTTAAGCACAGTTGAAAATAAAAGATGAAACTATTTCAAGTCTGCTTCTCGTAATTGCGGGATACTCACGGAATTAGGTTCACTGGTTCAGTTGTGTGAACCTAATTACGGGAGTCATGAAATTGATAATTTCTTGACAAATATATGCTCGATTTAACTATAAAACTAATCTCTTATTATTACTGATCGCTAACAAGCCAGTACGAAATGGCGATCGGGTTACGACCGATGCTTTCAAAAGTTTTTTACGGCTTAAAAACTAATATTTGAATTCGAAAATCGTACTATTTTATTAGGATTCAAATTATAATTGATGTGCTGTTGAATAAAATTATTATTTATTGACCGTTTTCTTTTTTTGCGATCAAAATGAAAAACTCCCGTAATAATATACTATCCCGGAATAGTGTACGTTTACCTTAGTCGACAAGTGAATTGGTGAATAGGTGAATCGGTGGACATGTAAATTGGTGGACAGATAATCTTCTAGACAGGTAGACTTTAATACAAAAAAACTGATACACTACATATAACAAATATACATTTTTGTTCAACTCTTTAATTTAATACACGACGAATTGTGAACTGTTAGAGCTAGTATATGTATATATATATACTAGCTCTAACTGTTGGGTTGCCTTCTAATAAACAGTTTGCATTTACGAACACTATAGTTTTAAATAAGTTAAGAATAAAACAAAAAAATGGTTAAAACATATATATATATATATATATATATATATATATATATATATAATTATATCGTATATTATTCTTTGATTGAAAAATGAATGTTTTTTTACCGTATATCTAAGTGAGATCCCTTTTCCGTGACGATCTTGTTGTTCATTGCATACAACTTGGTTGTAATATCACGTGCAACTAAAGTAGTTAGTACCGTAGCTAAATAAGTCTCTTTAACAAATAAGTATTCTAAGGCCGCTCGTTGCCAAAATAAATAACGACATGAACTAGCAGCTACAATTGACACCTAAAATTTGATGAAATTATGATTTCAGCAGATATTTTTAAAAAATAAACATCAAAATTAAAATTAAAACTATCAAATCAAAACTAAAATTACTTTGAATTTGTCATCGACGCCAGCCCGACTGGATTCGAATTCTGGAGAATCCAGAAATTCACATGGAAGTATTGGATGTAGAAACTGTTGATCCGAAAGAACGTTTACTTTACCAGACAACAGCAGTCCTAAGCGATCGGTTCTAAAAATTAAATTATTTGAATGTTCGTTTAAAAATCAGTAAAATGATATAAAACAATTAAAAATTTTTTGTAATAAAACACATCAATATTTGTGTCATTTTATTATATTTCAGCTTTAACACCAATTTATCACAATTTACTAAATGTATACTTTTATTAAGTTGTTCAAATCAAGAAAAAATAATTAAGTACAATATTATTGAAAAACTTAACAAAAAGAATAAACATAATAAATAAAAAAAAATAGTGGTACATAGCACTGTTTCAGAAAAGCAAATTACAAGGACTTCTTGTACCGCAATAGAACATTCGAGGGATAAAAATAATCAATTATGCACAAAAAAACAAAACAAATGTTTGAAATATTTTCAAATAGATTATAAAAAATATATACAAACTATTCAATTTTTATCACTAATATTTTATGTTGTGACCATATTCCAAAACTAGCTGTAAGTGGAATTCTATCTTGAGGAAATTATGGCATCGTGCCTTAAGGCAAATTGCTGGAACTTCCCGTACCTCAACAAAAGATCGAGGAATACTGAATGTTTTCAAATAGATTATTCTAAATATTGTAACATTGTCTAATATTTATAGGAATTATATAAACTGAATTGCAAAGTTTTTTTTTTTTTATATATTTTTATTGGCCTCTGGTAAACATTTAGCCACATACATAATGTACAATATATAGGTAACATATATAGTATATTGGTCACTTACAACTTAATTTTACTATTATTAACAAACCTAATTATGTTAGGATAACAGTTCAGATTTTGCAATAATGATGTCAAGTTAAAGGGTTTAATCAGTGTTTTTATAGAGTGTAGTTCCTCTAACAATTTAGCCCTGCTTGCCTCAAATATACTACATTCTAGTATGATGTGTTCAGATGTTCCGCTTGATACTCCACAAGGACATGATTCTGACTCTATTATTCCCAGCCTCTTCAGGTGTGCAGGGAAGTTACCATGGTTAAGCCTTAGTCTTGTTATTGTTACGATGGTACCTCTGTTTTCATCTGCATATTTTCGGAACCACGGGTTGACTGCCTTGTAGTATCGTCCCTTTGTTTCCGACGATCTGTTCCATTGCTCTTGCCATTTGTCCAGTATTTTTTTCTTTGAATTATTCATATAGTCTTTCCTAGTGGCTAGGTTGATCATAGTTCCGTATTCTGTTGCCCATTTTGCTATTGAGTCCGCTTCATCGTTTCCACTAGAACCGGAGTGCGATCTAGTCCATAATAATTTGACTGTATACCCGTTTTCCAATAGCTGTATAAGTCTATTCCATACTTCATATACTAATGTCTCGCTTAGTCGATTAGTAAGGAATAGATTTTTCAGTTTATCTATGCAGCTTTTGCTATCGGTAACGATGACCACTTTAGTGATTTTGTGGCTTTCTATATATTCAATTGCTTTTTTTATAGCTATTAGCTCGGCTGTCCAAATTGAAACGAAGTCTGGTAGTTTATATTCTATTTTGATATTATCGTTTTCATAAAATAAAGCGCAGCCAGTTTTGTTATTAATTTTTGACCCGTCTGTAAATATAACTTTATAATCCTCTATGTTGATTGTATTCGTATTGAATATTTTTTCTATCGTATAACTGTTGTCTAATGTGAAAAAGTTATAATACGGGTGTTTATTGTATTTATTTGTGTCTCCTCTTGTTTCAATTACTTTTATATAGCTATATACCAAGCTTGGTTTTGGACGATTTCTCCAATAGTCACTTGTTAATGTATCTATGGCTACATTCTTGATATTTTTGATTGTTCTATTATTTTGTACTTGGTATTTTTTAAGTACAAATTTATCACTTAAATATTGGAATCTTGAATGTAAAGGCATTTCTCCACATTCCACCAACAAGGCGTTTGTAGGTGTGGAGATCATTGCCCCTATGCACAGTCTCAAACATTTATATTGAATTTTTTCTATCTTTCTGCAGTGAGAAGAGTTACTGAAAGCTAGACTTCCATATTCCCATGATGGTCTAATTATTGTTTTATACAAGTTCAGGGCTGTGGTAGGGTGAGCTCCCCACCATGTCCTATTTACCATACGTAAAATGTTGATTTTTGGCTCAATTTTTGTGATTACTTGATTTATATGTGTTTTGTGAGATAGTTTTTTGTCGAAAGTGACGCCCAAAAATTTATTATTTTCTTGTATTTTGATTGTATGGTATTTAGTCGTTAGTGCTGTTCTTTCTTCTAGCTTCCTGCGTCTTGTAAAGATTCCGATTGAGCTTTTTTCGTCCGACAATTCAAGTCTTTTCTTTGCGAGCCATTCGTGGAAGAGATCTATGTTACGGCTCATCACCTCATAGGCTTCCTGGAGGCTTGATTTTTCTATATATATTACGACGTCATCTGCAAATTGTAATATTTTGGTACCTGTTTCCCATATTTTTTCTATGTCTCTTACATAAATTGAGTATAAGATGGGGCTAAGAATTTCTCCCTGTGGTAGGCCTTTGTAGATTTTTCTCGGCCCTATCAGTTTCCCATTTATTCGGAAAAATATCTTTCTTTCTCGGATGTTGGTCGTAATTGAGTTTATGAATTTTCCTGGTAGTCCAGTGTTAGCCAGAGTATCTTCCAGCACCTCTGGTAGGACGTTATCGTACGCACCTTTAATATCGCTAAATAGAACAACGACATAGTTGTTTTTTGCCATTGATAGATATAGATCTGATATAAAGATCGTTAGGTTGTCATATGTTCCCATGCCATTTCTAAATCCACATTGGGATTTGGGAAGTATGTCATACTTTTCTACCCACCATTCTAATCTTCTCTTGATCATTCTATCTTTGACTTTTGCAATGCAGGAAGCCAAAGATATGGGTCTATACGATGAAACTAAATTTGGGTGTTTATTCATTTTTCTGATAAGTATTATCACTTGTTGCCCCCAATCTTCTATTGCTTCTGGATTCAGCCACACTTTATTAATTATATCTACCAGTATACTTTTAGCTTGTGGTGTCAAATTTGCAATCATTGAATATGATATGCCGTTTTTTCCAGGAGCTGTGTTGTTGCTCCTCTTGATAGCTATTTCCAGTTCCCACAATGAGAATGGTTCCATCAGATTGTTTGTTTCTCTTTCCAGGACAGTTTTATTTCCATTGCCTAAGTCATTTTTGGCACCCGGTGGTGATAGATAGTCGATGATTTCCTCACTAATTTCTTCAGGGATATTACTATATGTGTCGGTCCCGTTCGTGTGTTTCTTGAGACGTCTAATCATTCCAATCTTCTTTGACTGAAGTATTTGGGTTCATTTTATTGACGTATTCCTTCCAACTGTCTTTTTTCTTCTTCCTGAAAATGTTTTTGATTTTCTTGTTTATATTCTCACACGTTAAATAGTTTTTATAGTTGGATTCCTGTCTATAAGCTTTTTCACCCTCTCTCCGTTCCTTTATTAGATGATTGCATTCGTCATCCCACCACACTGGTTTAATGAACCTAGTATTTATCAATTTTTTCCTTTTTGGAATGCTTTTTTCTGCCGCTGAGTTAATTATCCGTATAAAATCTGTGTACGCTTTTACGGGGTCACTTACACAAAATCCATTTAGTTCATCTTCTAGATGTATTTGATACTTTTCCCAGTCTGCTTTATTGAGGTTCCATCCAAGATCGTTATTTTGGATTTGTGGAACTTCTTTTTGTTTCAGAGTTAGAATTATGGGGTAATGATCTGAGCCCAGAGACTCATCGATTACACTCCAATCTATTTTGTGCGCTATGTCCTGAGAGCAAAATGATATATCAACTGCTGTAAAATTGTTTTTAGATCTCAAAGTTGGATTTCCATCATTGAGTATAAATAAGTCATTGGACTCTACGGATTCTAGTAAATTATTTCCCATTCTGCTATTCCATTTACCTCCCCATGCATAATGGTGGGCGTTAAAATCACCGCACAAAATAAATGGGTTTTGGAACTGTGACAATATATGATTCCATTGACTTACTGAGATATTGCTGTTTGGTGCAACATAAATGGATATAATGGTCAATTTGGTGTTACAGAACATAAGTGTTATTCTTTTGATTTGGCACTTGCTTACATCTATTGTGCCTATATTAATGTTCTCTGTATTGAGTACCGTGATATTATCCTTGACTATTATAGCCGTACCTCCATATCCATCATTTCTATCGTTGCGGAAGATCTTGTAACCTCTGAAAGTGCAGTTGTTACCACCTTTTAACCATGTTTCTGAGAAGGCCGCTATTTGAACATTTTCTCGTATAGAAAATGTTCAATGCAGCCTTTGTTGGCAAACACTGATCTACAATTGTATTGCAATATTTTCAATTCCTGTGTCATTCTTGTCATTTCAGATTTGTTAGGTTTATCTGATCTCTTTCCATCCGATTAATTTTGGCCATTAGCACTTGATTATTTTTTTGGTTGGTAGGGTTAAAAACATCCTTTAGTCTTTTGATTATGTGGTTCAGAGATATTTGCTCTGATGTGCTTGGATTTGGTTGTATTCCTCTTTTCTGTATATTCGTCGTTCTAACATCCTTCTCTTTTGTTTTATCTCTGTTGTCCTCTTTTGTCATTTTCGTATTTACGTTTTCATTTTTTTTAAATGGTATTTTATTTATATTAGGTGACGCTTTTCGTGCATCGTTTTTTGTTTTATTGTTATTATCAGAGTTTTTAATGCTGTTGTCTATGGCTGGTGTCTCAACGCTAGTATTGTGTAGTCTCCGTTTCTTGGGCTGATTCACTTCCATATTTTCTGGTTCTTTATCTCTTGTGCGTTGTTGGAGATCTTGAATATCGGGAAAAACTTTTTTGTTTTGTAAGTCAAGTCTAGTTGTAATTATATTTGCGTAGGGGCGGTTCTCCAAAATCCTTTTTGCTTCATTATAACTTGCATTATTAAATTCCATTATTTCTTTTAATTTAATTTGTTTTTTGTAGACTTCGCAATTTTTGTTAATTGCCTG